TATTCACATTCCGTATACTTTGAATTAAACCATATTACTATTTTCTAATTTTTGCGATCAATGTGAATTAATACATCGAATCATAATTGAAATAGAAAATACCTTTGAGCTGAGAGAAGGAAAAAAACTAAATACTTAAAACCCCAAAGAAATTACCTGCTTAACTGTTTAAAAACTGAAAACAATAAATTTAAGAGGCTTCTGATGAACATAAATTATATAACATTTTTAAAGCAAAATATTACAAAATATTTTTAAATGAAAAGTAAGGATCAAAATAATGACAGTGAGAAGGAATATTGTTTTTGTCAAACACAAAACTTGAATTGATCATGTAATTTCTTTACTAAACGAAGATTTTGACTACTGAGCAAAACAGCGGGAATAAAAAAAAACATTATTCATATCAATTTCCCAACTCAGAAGCAACAAATACAACCACGGCCTGCCCATTAGGACAAACTGCATTCATGAAATCAGAAAATTTTACTTTTAAAAAACTTGGGATATTTACTATTTTTTTAGAATATTATCCCAGATAATTACCATTGCATCATTCTGACGATATGAACATTTTCTAGAAAAACACAATATGATTCATATCATTTATCTTGATTTTCTATTGGATGAACATTGCAGAAAATTGTGTTTGGCACTACAGTTTCTTCAAATGGAAAAAGAGACTATGAAAACTGCCCTTTCTCTTTCTTTTTTTTTTGAATGACAACAAGATACGTATTCTTTTGACTGCATACTAATACCATGGGAGCATAGTATTCCATGTTGTATATGTGCCACATTCTCTTTATCCAGTCTATCATTGATATGCATTTAGCTTAATTCCATGTCTTTGCTATTGTGAATAGTGCTGCAACAAACATAGGCATGCATGTGTCTTTATAACAGAATGATTCATATTCCTTTGGGTATGTAACCAGTAATGGGATTGTGGGGTCAAATGGTATTTCTGTACATGGATGGAGCTAGAGGTTATTATCCTTAGCAAACTAACACAGGAACAGAAAACCAAATACTGCATATTCTCACTTGGAAGTGGGAGCTACATGATGAGAACACATACAGAGGGGGAACAACACACACTGGGGCCTTTTAAGGGGTGAAAGTTGGGAGGAGAGAGAGAATCAGGAAAATTAACTAATGAGTACTAGGCTTAATACCTGGGTGATGAAATAACCTGTACAATAAACCCCCATGACACAAGCTACCTATGTAGCAAATCTGCACTTGTACCCCTGAACTTAAAAGTTTAAAATAAAATAAGATAAAATTGCCCTTTCGATTCTAATTTCACAAACAAAACATTTTGCTATTATTCTTATCCACTTCACAACCAATCTTCTCAGATCGGTTTGGAACAATGTAATATTTGTGACTAAAAACATGTAGGTTGTTGATAATACAAACACACACACACACACACACCACAAAAACATGAAACATCATTTGCATCATTTGCACATAAGTATTTGTGCAACTACTAGAATGGAAATATTTGAATAAATAGCAAACAATTGATAGTTTTAAATAAAAACAAGTAAATGCTGATATAGAACACTGAAATGATGTTTGAGGCATATTTCCGTGTCCCTTTTAGCACAACATGACATGAAATAGTGGAACATTTCTAGATTTTGTAAAAATTATTTCAAACAGTGGTACTAGAATGGCCAAACACAGCAATGTAAGAAATAATGTAACAAATGTCACTACAATTGCCAATGCCTATTGATGGAATTGGCTCAATTTATTTTCCTCCTCTAGGGCTCGCTATGAATTGTGGAAGTTAAGATATATACCTTTAAGATGTATCATTCAATAACAAATAACAAATCATTATTCACAGTTCAATTATATAATTGCTGTCTTTACAATAACTGTGAAATGTATTTTATGGAGGTAGAAATCAGCATATAGAATTTTGCAGTATATTTATCACACCTGGGAGGAAATCCCTGGAATATTCAGTTCTTTATTTTAAAAGATATCAATTCACAAGACAGATATAAAAATAACCTTTAAGCATATGAATAGATGTTCAACCTCACCAAGGATATGAGAAAAGAGAAATGCAAATTAAAACAAAACTGTGATGCCACCTCTCACCTACCAGATCAGTAAAAATTAAAAAGAATAACAATACTCTTGCTAGACTGTGGGAACACAGACACTCTCATATATTGCTAGTGGGAAAGAAAATTGGTGCAAACCTTAGGGGATAAAATTTGGCAATATCCAAATGATTACATATATATTCACATTATGACCCAATGATCCCACTTTTAGGATTTTTTCTGAAGTTGCACACCCAATGCTATGACGATACATACACACACACACACAGACACACACACACGATCATTCATTGTCATCAAAACATATTAGAAGCAATGTAAATGCCCATTTATAAGACAGCAGTTGAATAAACTATGGTAGATCTACACAATGGACATTCTTTCCTTTAATAGAATAAGGAAGTTATTTGTTGAATAATGTGGAGCAATTTCTAGGATATTGTGAAGCACAGTGTTGCATTAGGCAATTAATAATGTTTGTGGTAGGTTTAAGCTTCCTTAAAATGTATAATTTATTGTGATTACTTTTCTCATCCTTAGTAAATATTATTTTTTAAAAACTAATTTCATCTTCATAATTATGTTCTCTTTTTCTTAAAAAAAAGAAAAAAAAAAAAGTTCCCTGATTGGTATAAACTTCTGGCTACACAAAACCTGCACTTCCTTCAGAACTGTGGACTATGGTATGTAAATACATTATGTACTGTCTGCTATTTGATTGTTCTGATAGGTTTTCCACCAAAATTACTCTAAAATATTTTTCTAAAGCAGCAGTTCTCAAACGTAGCTAAGCATCAGAATCAGCTGTGGACCTTTACAAAAACAGAGATTCCTGGGCAATACTTCCTTAAGTCTGGGGTGCCGCCCAGAAATCACTGTCTTCCAAAAGCCCTGAAGCTGATTCTGAGCATCATCCAAGTTTGAAATCTCTGCTGAGAGTAGGTTTGCAAAATAGAGAGAGAATAAAGTTATTATTATTCTGCAGTTTTGAAGAAATTTATGATTATTATCAATAATTTCTTACTTTCTTAAATTCTTCATGATTTGGCCAAGAGTGTCTCATTCTGAAACTGGAAGGACTTTAAGGAAAACTAAACCTTAGGGAAGAATTCTACTTGTCTCATGAAACACAGTCTAGTAGGATAACATCTGGACTTGGAGCTATTCCACAGAAATCAGTTCCTGACGCCGATGTAACCACGGCCTGCAACTCAGCAAGGTTGTTAATGTTGGTACCTGGTTTCTCTTCTGTAAAATGTATATAGTTTGGCCTTTTTTCACAGAATCGTGGGGACCAAAGAAGATACACAATGTAAAATGTTCTTACAGACTGCTAAGTGTTATAGTTCTGGACATAACTCTCATTATGTATTTAAAGTCTAATTGTATGTCCATTTACTATAATTTTTGAAGTTTTAATTCTATATTTAGGTGTTATTATTTTACATGTATTAACTTTCCATCTATCTATCTATCTATCTATCTATCTATCTATCTATCTATTCATCCATCTATGCCACTATTCTCTCTGTGAATTAACAGGAGACATAAGTAACTTCACTTATTTGGGAATATTATGGTCTTTTTTTTTTAAGTAAGTTAATTTTAAGTTCTAGAATACATGTGCAGGACATGCAGGCTTGTTACATAGGTAACGTGTGTCATGGTGGTTTGCTGCACCTATTAACCCACCATTTATGCATTAAGGCCCGCGTACATCAACTATTTATCCTGAAACTCCCTTCCCCAGCCCCTCGGACAGGCCCCAGTGTATGTTGTTCCCCTCTCTGTGTCCAAGTGTTTTCATTGTTTAGTTCCCACTTATAATTAAGAACATAGGGTGTTTAGTTTTCTGTTCCTGTGTTAGTTTGCTGAGGATAATGGCTCCCAACTCCATACATGTCCCTGCAAAGGACATGATCTTGTTCCCTTTTATGGCTGCGTGATATTCCATGGTGTATATGTATCACACTTTCTTTATCCAGTCTATCATTGATGGGCATTTGGGTCAATTCCATGTCTTTGCTATTATGAATAGTGCTTCAGTGAACATATGTATGCATGTATCTTTATAATGGAATGATTTATGTATATACCCAGTAATGGGATTGCTGGGTCAAATGATACAGCATGATGCAAGTTATAGAGGATTTGAAGTGGAGTCATACACAAAAATCTAAGACACTTTGGAAATCACTCTTCTGAGGAAGAACAGGAATTCTGTAATCCTTTAAAAGGCATATGAGAATTATATTCCATATGATCTAATATAAACATTTACATATGTTAAACATATATCTTTCATAAAATCTGGCAGAATCAAATACAGTTCACAAACAGTTATCATATAATTGCCTTATTTTCTGATACATATTGTGGGCTATCATTTCAGAAAACATACTAAGTAAAATTGTTTATCTTAGATAAATACATCCTGTATATTTTCAAAAGAGTGATAAAAGTCACCACAATAATTTTAAAACTACATATGGTTGAGAAAAATGCCAAAGGGGGAGGAAATTAATTTTGATTGGGATAGTATGTTTCCTGAGTTGGAACAGAATCTTGAATTGCTGGTGGCATTCACACCTCTCCATTACTGCTGTTAGCAATTCTTTATCTACTTCTGAAGTCTATAAAAGCTTAGTGTATCAAAGTGATGCCAAATTTATATATAACTCCTAATACAATGTTATGAAAATGATTCATGAATAAGCAATACACAGACTTCTATGATGAAGCATGGAGTCCACATCAGTCTATAGAAGGCTGTTCTCAATCTTATTTTTTTTTTATAACATAATGGGTTTGTATTTAATATAGTACTTCTCATCAGGAGGATGTTACTCGGTTAATATAAAGTTTTTTTTTCAAAACATTAAATCTCTTCCATGTCAATGTCTATAGTTTTTTTTTTTTTTAACATTAGATTTTTTTCTGCATTTCAGTATTAGATACACTGAATACACTTTTCTAAATGTTTTTTTCCCCAGAGATAAAAGTTTTCCTTTTTGGCTGACTCTCTGATACCTAAATATAATATTAACTTGGGAGACAACAACAAAAAAAAAATCTAATAAAAAAAAGGAGAAAAGTCTCCTCCACGATTCAGGAGGCAGTGATTATAACCAAAGAGTGGTGATTTCCTAAGATTCTGGGCAAGAACTTCCTTCTTCCTATTTCACATGCTTTGAGAGAATTCTAAGATTATGAAATATTACTTATGTAAATTTCAGCCATTTTACTTCTTTGACCTCCTTTCTAACTAGCAAATTATAGGCTGCATTTTTCTGTGCATTATTTGTTGGAAAGAAAACATTTTTTTTTTCCATTTATAAATGTATGTTTGTTCCCATTTCATGGAAACAATGAAAAATGTGAAACTCCCTTATTTACTGATTCTTGGAACCTTTCACACACCAGAGCTCAGGTTTAGCCTCTATAGCACAAAGGTTTTCAAGGTGAGGTTTGACTCAGTAGGCCTTTCAAAGTCACATTTGTCCATTTCTTTTTCGTGCATATACCCCCAAGCAGGCACAAATGCCTGTAATGCTGAGAACCACACCTAATAAAAGGGCGATTGCATCACCGGCTTCTACTGCTTCCACAACAGGCAGCACCAAAAGCAGTGACATGAGGACTAAGGACAACTGTGTTGAAACTGAGGTCATGATGTTGGAATCTGGAGGCTGAAGGTTCCAAAGAAATGGTATATATAGAATTCTATCTGACTTGAAATTTTCCCTTCCTGGAGCTCTGGATGCTGAGATTAAGAGGTTCCACGTGACACGACCTTCCAGGAATCAGCCTTTACAGGAATCCTCAATCTTATTTTTAAGTATCTTAAAAGTAAAATCATGACTATAGTACCTCTACACATTTTGAGCTGAGAGCATTATGTTAATTTACATATCATCTAACTAGATTCTACATTCTAGTTCTCTGGACAGGTGGCCTTTATACTTTTTAAATCGAGAACAGCTAGTATGTCCTGATTTAGTGCACATAACCCCTCTCTCCCACAAAAACACACAAACAGAAATACAATACTTAAAATAATACATTTCCCTATTATTACAATTTTTACCTATTTTATTTTTTTCTATTCCATGTCTTTAAAAAATACTGGTCAACAAATTAGATTGATTTAATGTCCCACCAATGTGCATCTGAAAAAATTGCCTTATCAGTGATTTCAAACATAATTTGGAGTCCTTGGCTTTGGCAGTATGTGTTCTCAAATTGGAATGATATAAAGAAAGTTAGCATGGCACCTGTGCAAAAATGATATGCAAATTTGTGAAGTATTTCATAGTTTAAAAATGACTTGGGGAAGAGTAATCACCAGATAAATGGGTAAATTACACGTGATCCATACATACAATGAAATATCATTCAGTCTTAAAAAGAAAGGAAATTCTGACACATGCTACAACATGGATGAACCTTGAATTCATGACGTTCAGTGAAATAAACCAGTCACAAAAAGACAAATAATGTATGCTTCCACTTATATGAGGAACCAAGCATAGCTAAATTCATAGAAATGGAAAATAAAATAGTGGTCGTCAGTGGCTGGGGAGAGAGGTAAACGGAGAGTTATTGTGCAATGTAAATCGAGTTTCTGTTTTGTAAGGTAAGTGTTCTGAAAATGGATGGTAGTGGTTGCACAGCAATGAGAATTTACTTAACATTGACTGCACACTTAAAAATGGTTAAGATGGCAAATTTTATACTAGGTTATTTTACCATGATTACAGAGAATTTTTTAAATCACTTAGGGAAATACAAATTTTAGTAATATACTTCATATTTACGGAATCAGGAATGGGGACCTTAAATCTGGGATTGTTTAAGAGTCTTCCAGGTAAATCTGATTCAAAGTGACTTAAGAACCACTACTTTAAAATACAACTATGACTTTTCCTCCCAAGCACCTAAATTCTTTTGCTACTTTGAAAGGAACAAAATTGTGAGACAAGAACTCACAGAAGCCTAACCTTATCCTTAATCAGGATTTAAAAGAAAACAAAAATAGGCTAAGAATTTTTCAAGAGGGAAACTAGTCATACAATACATGTTTATGATGTGGATATTGACTACAGAGAAAGAAACATTTCCAGATAGACACAAGATAATATTAAAATACACAAGGTCTAACACTGGTTCTCATACTTTTTTGTAGTCATATTCAGGGTCTTCTCTCAATTAAAAAAAAAAAAGCTACCTTATTTTGCCTTTTATATGCTAAGATCTTTGCAAGTATTACTTCATCTAACATGGCAATGTCCCAATGAGGATTAATGTTTTTATTTTATTCATAAGGAAACTGAGGCTTATAAATGTCAATTCCTTGCCCAATGTCACGTAGCTCATATGTGGTGAAAACTACATCTACCTGACTCCAAAATCTTTAGTCTTTCCAATGCTACCTTGCCTCTCTGAATGATTTCCTTCCATTCTTACACAGCACACTGGAGTACACCTCATTATTGTCATTTTAAAAATAAGAAAAAAACCTCAGGGAGATGACTTTATGAAGGTCACAGTAAGCCTTCCACATTTTGATTCGATTTTCATCCATAAAATAGAGCTATTTCACCTCTGAGAAATATATTGAAGAAACCAAATAAAATTGGATGTCATAAAAATAATGCGAGAAGGAGTAAAATCTTGATTAATAGAAAGTACCAGGCAGCTATGGTTAATTGAAGGTTAACTAGAGGCTTCTTTTTGTTTTAATCTTTAATGCTGAAAATCCTTTCAAAATAGATTGAGCCACATCCTGGTTTATGTAAGTTTACTGTGATGAACACAATTAAATCTTTCTTTGAGAGTTTTTTTTTTTTCTAACTTCTTTATATCCTCGTTGATGTAGATTATACAGGAAATTAATTTGAATTTTTATGGAGGCCAGGAAAAAACTTAAATGCGATTCTTTTGACCAAATCTTTAATAGGAGTTTGTATGATCTCTTTCATTAAAATAATGCACCAAAAATAGTTCCAGGTTTGCTTTTATGACAAGAATTCAAAGAGGTTGGATTGCAGAAGGTACAGATCAATATTTAATGCCTATCTTTCTCCAAATGGGATTTTAGGCTGGAGAACTATTAGTATTTTTTGCTTTTAGTATTCCCTTACATCAAGGAAAAAGATGTATTTATGACTTATATAGATTGTTCAAAGGCAATAAAGTCCCTAAACTTCCTCATTTATTAGGGAAATATGAAAAGTGCAGGTTCCTCAGAGGATCCAGTGAAATCCCCACTCTAAAGAGCTGACCTCAATCTACCTTTGCCCAGACTAACTGTTACCTGCAAGCCTTCCTTTTATCCACCACGCATTACGTTCACTATTTTCAAAGACAGACACTTGCTGAAATAAAAAGATGAATAATTTGAAATGAGCATAAATCAAGGCATAATTTAAGGGACACATGCTAGAGGTGGCTACTACAAGTGCTTTAAGTATCTTTACTGGCCAGTCAACACCGTAGCCTTTGTAGGTTAACAAAATATTAGCAATAGATTTCCATTGTTGAAATTAGTGATTAGTGATTTTTTCAAATAAGGGCAAAAACTATGTTAGAGGCATTTAGTCTGTTGTAAGACTGTAGTTTAAGAATCTAACCAGCCTTTCAAAATTTAGCTATAAGATTTGCACCCTAGATTTGATTTCTACAGAGACCTCTGTCCAGACATTAGATTGGGGGATGGTTGGCCACCCAAGTCTAACTAGAACATCAGCTGAGTCCTACTGCTATAATCATATTGCACTTGCTACATTTGCCTTCAGGGGAATCTACCGTCCTTGGTACAGTCTTAGCACACACACACACAAAAGTTAAAGCCAAGAATTGGTAGAGCTTACCAATAAAGCCAAGAATTGGTAGAGCTTATGTTGTGTATACTTGCTATTAAATGTCTATATTTGAAGAAGAATTTTATTTTCAGTTACTTAGAAAGATGGTATAAGAGCAGGTAAAAACTATTGGCTATTAATTTCTACTCAAAGGAGGCTAATAGTTTTACATCTAATTTTTTTAGGTCAGTTCACAACAGTAGATATCAAAATAGAGCTTTCATGGTCATTCCTAAAGGCTAGATGATCAATAAAAATCCCTTCCATGCTAGACACAAACCTCTCCATATGAGCTCACATTTAGAACATTCCTAGAGAAGTAATCACTTATCTGGAACATTTTGATAATTAGAAATGACTTGCCAAGGAGAATTTGCTTGCTCCTATAGTCTTGGATTGATGATCCCTTTAGAGAAATTGATTTGCTGTAACTCAGGCAGAATGTATGTGAAACACAGAAGCTGTGATGATAACCCAAGCCCAGTATTTCACATGGCAGCTCTTGTAAGAAGAAAGTCCACCCATGAGGCAGTGATAGAGCATGTCTCCCTAAAGACAAGCTGAAGAGCTTCCCCAGGCAGGGTGAAAAGAGACCTGAAGTTCTGATGTATAAAATCCTTTTAGATAAGGAAATAAGTCTGACCTCATTTTGCCTCTTGACATTGCTCTCAGTCTCCCTGGCTGCCCTTTCAATATTTCTTCTTTCAGACTAAGTTCAACATTTACATGAATCTCTCATTTATAAGATTAAAAAATTGTGGATGAGATGCCAAATAATCTAGTAGAGATTCACAACAAGGCAACAAGTTCAAATAGGTTTGGCAGACATAGGATTCCCATTCCTAACACATTGTCTGGGAAACCAAGTGCCCTCCATGTCTAGTTGCAAAGAGTTAACAAATTCATGTAAAACTTAAAGCTTATCTTTTCCAGGAGAAAATCCAGCTCTGTGTGTGAGTGTTATTCATGTTATTAAGAGGACTAAATGTCACTTATATTTGTTACCACATTTGTGGAGTTGAATATCAGATATCTTATTCTGCAAAACTGTCAAATTTTGTGGTTGAAGACATATTTTACCAAATCACCCCTTTCTCTAACACATGTGAAAGTGATGACAGAGAGAGAGAGAGAGTCGCCTAACCTAATGGCAATTTCCCAAATTATTCTACATCATATAAGTGAGGCTGAGTCAACACCTACCTTTCCTGTTGTCTTCCACCTGCTCTTCTTTGGCACTTGCCCTATTTGTAATTTTACTGATATGCTAGCTACCTACTACATTGTCCAAAATAGAAAGAAAATATTTTCTATTTACATTTTAAATAAAATAGATTTAAGTAAGTAAAACTCAGTGTCTTTACAAGTTTATAGTTCTGGCTATATGAGGCACAGAGCCTTCCTCTACATTTTCCACTCACCATCTGGGCAGTGTTTCTTCTGGCAAGACTTTAAAAATGAAGGGGAGCAAAAGCTTTAGGGGAGGAGTTGGGGGGGTGATTGGGCTAGAGAAACAGTGAAAACATGGTTTCAGAAGTTTGTTAAGCACCTGCCAAAGTACTGGCATTCACTTCAAGATTGCTTTTCTTTAAAGATGTTAAAAGATGCAAAATATTGCTCTTTTCCTTAAAAAGGAAAGCCATATAATCTACAAAATGTTGACTTTTCTTTGGCCCATTAGAAAACTGAGATCGCAAGGTATCTTAAGTCCATTAGGACTGTTATAACAAAATACCATAGATTGGACAGCTTATAAAACAAGCATTTATTGTTCACAGGTCGGGAGGCAGATAAGTCCAAGACCAAGGTGCTGGCAGATCCAGTCTACAGTGAGAATACTTTTCCCGGTTTGCATATGGCTCTCATTTCATTGTATCCTCATGTGGTGGAGAATAGAGGAAGAGCAAAGTGTCATGTCTCTTCATGTAAAGGCACTAATC